TTAGCTACGGACAAAATACCAAAACGACCATAATGTTAAAATATTCTTCCATAATTCGTTACTTTGGAATTGTTGAAAAATTAAAATTACAACGATTACTTTGTTTAGGATTTTTAAGTAATTTTGTTTTGTAAAATATATCAAGCTAAATAGTGATCGAAGAACACATTTTTGTAACTACGATTGGTTATTTTTTTTATTTTTAAAATAGTAATTTTGCTGTACACCATTCGTATCCAGCTAAAATTGTCATCACCAAGTTTAATTACATATGCCCCTGAATTTTTTTTCGTCACTACATTTGCATTAATGACTTTGAGGAAATAATTTGAAATGCAGGATTGCTTACTTCTTGTCGGATTGCATCGCAAAAAATTTTTTAGAGAAAAGGTAGCATAAATTTATTTATAAATTTTGAGAAACAGAAATGTTACAGTAAATTTGATATGATATCTATATATTATGTAACAAGCAATCTAATAAAAGACGTAAAATTTCAAATATTTCAACTTGTTTGGAAAATTTTTGTCTCAACAGTTTCATAAAATAATCTTTTATTTTTACATCCTGAACTTCCACCCTGGGGCCCTAGAAATGTCCTCACCAATGACGAAAACCAATATCCTGCTTTAAAATAATTGTTTTATTCAATACTATCACCCTTTTTTCGAAAGTTATTTTTCCATCATTATGACTATGTCTTGATAAAAACAACAAACTATACATCAAAATCCAACAAAAAATACATCAAAAAATTTTACGCACTTGAATTTTGTATCAAAACTTTCAACGTGGAGAAAAAAATGCTCACTGGATAATCTGAAAAACATAAAAAAAAATTATTTCCTTCTCAGTTCGAATTATTGGTCAGTATCATCAAACGGATCCTTTTTATGTCAGGCTTTTTAACCAATATTTTCATGGGTCAGTTTAGTTTTCGAAAATTTAGCCCTCAAGACATGGCTTATCGTAGTCTTAATATTGAAACTCTTTAGCCTGTCCCGAATAATTTTTTTACCATTCATTTGAATAAAACTCTCGAATTATTTATTCAACTTATCACTAACGATTTTAAATAATTTTCAGTTACGTCATACAGTGTTGCACAGAAATTCTTTTGATGATTTGTACGTGTAAATTTATGTGAGCGTCATCATATGCATATATGTTTAAAAAGTGACCTGGAAAAAATTTCTCTCAGCCCTCAACATTCACCGCGGTGTAAACGTGTTGTGCGTCACAAAAATTTGTATTACTCTTTGGAAGTGACAGCTGGAGGAAAACCGGAAATACCGATTCAATTAGTAAAAGTAAGCTGTTTTATTTTTTTTTCTTACACATAAAGAGTCTCTTGTGCACTTTGATTAATCTGTAGACTTTTTGAAACGACGCTTTTCTATGTTGGTTGAGAAAAAATAATTTCAACCCTCGGCGCAGCGTATATTTTTAACAAAAAGACGGAGTACGCGCACGTATACTAATTAATTTCGCCATCAACGCCACTTGTTTCCCTCTCATCTTGTGCATGTACTCTTTTCCGAGTGACACGTTCCAGTGACAGCTATCTCATATTTTTTTTTTTTTTTTTTCGGAGCTGACCAGTTCACGCGATTACCCAACCAGACTCCATCCCACAGATGGCTATAAATTCAAGCTCGCCTAAGAATGTCTTTTTTTTTTTTTTTTTTTTCTTATTTGCTTGCACCAAAAAAAAACGAGTCATTTCACAAAGTGAAACCTTTCTCTCCGGCGGTGAATTACCTCTCCTTTGCTCGCGTATAGCCGTCCACGCGTATAATATATATGTATAAAGTATAGTCATCAAAACAATTAGAAACCTATCGCGCCTCGATTGAAAAACTCCATAGTATAAACAAGCGCCGATGACCCAACCATCAAAATCACCGGCCCGATCACACGCTCTGCACACTTGCATCAGCGTCCCACGTGACTCGATGTTTTTTTTTTAAATTTATTTATCGTTTCCCCCTCCTCAAACGGGGGAAAAAAAAAAAAAAAAACCAACCAAAAAAACTGCATCTATTCATGTTGTGTATCCTTTCGTGTGACCGAAAAACCAAAGCTCCAGGATGAACGCGCGTACAGAAAAAAAGGGGGTCAGTCGCATGATTCTCCGCGCACACCTGTTTTTAATATATATGTATATATACTTACACATAAGACACAGGAGAAAAAGAGAACGGGAGGTATATATAGCGGAGGTTGGTGTAAAAGACCACAGAGAGCGAGAGCGCAATAAGATATATATATATATATTGCGTGGAGTCCGGCAGTGATGCAATGTTACATACATAGGTATATATATAAATATGTGCATCGGGTGATACCGACCCGGCACCTCACGGACTTTCGTGACCGGCTACGATACAACCTACGTATATATATATGTATACATACTATACCGATCATTTACACACGCGGGCAGGTACACTATGGGTATACATCAGGTACGTATATGCACACGTGGGTAAAGAGAGGTTTGGCATACATACACATACGCGTATGGACATACGTACAAAGTCGCGAGAGCAGTTCGCAAAACGAACAAGTATTTCGACATTTTACTTGCGTCTCGGTAGCTTGCATATGTAATATATATCTAAAATATATACACATATACCTACAGTAATGTACACGTAGCATCGACGAAACACCGATTCAGTGACCCGGTATGTGTTTGTACGTTTGTACGAGCTCATTGTAACACTATTAAAAGGATAAACCGGCACTGCGTGTGGATACAAGCTCTCAGTGTACAAAGAACGGCTCGGTTTGGCTCATTTTCTTTTTTTTTTTTTTTTTTCCCCTCAGAGGTAAGTGCTCATACTTTCCATTTTCGCAGCCTTTTAGTACATCGCGTATGTATACCTATACATCACTGTATATTTAGAGTGTGCAGATAAAATATATCCGTGTGCACTAGCTGGAACCATATATCATACGTAATCACGACCTGAGATGTTTGAAATTAACCGGCAACAAGGGTTACATTAATGCATGACCGACCAACAACTGTAAGAAAATGAAAAACATTTAAGCAATGAAGCTTTTAATCGTATATGATATAATCGATACAGGATTAAAATCCAATATTTGCCCGGTACAGGAAAACTCTTGTCCGACGATTATTTCTGGCTCAAAATTTTTATCTCCAGTTTTAATAAGTTAATGAAGATTTTTCATTTAATGTTTGAAGACGTGTTAAGTAAACATCGTAGAAATACATTTCCAACAAAAATGACATTGAAATGTTCCTTATTGATAAAAAAATCGGGATGACGAATTTACCCGCCGACGGCTGGTACACCAAAGGGAGTGATAAGCAGCCAGTTGTGACAAGTGTGGCCGTTTTGAGTAAAACGATGTTACACTATTGACTAACTCTTTTAGTACTGTTGCATTGGATTGAAAATATTTTAATTACTTGTATAATTTAGTTTTCTTATAATTTTAATAACTTTTTTTTTTCAAGCAGTATAATCCTAAGAATAATAATAACATCAATGGTAAAAATAACAGTAACGATAATTTTAACAACTGGCATCAGTTTGTAATTAATTTCACCTACTGAATTACTGCTTACATATTTACGTATTACTTGTTACATTACAATAAAGGCCAACATTAATTTTACTGTCAAAAAATATTTTAGCAAACTGAATTCTGTTAATCATTGAAGAAAAGAAAAGAAACCTAATATTTAAAAGTGTTTTGTTCCTGAAAAATTCAAATACACCGAACTTGCAAATGTAATAAGATGATACAATGAATGTAATTTTAAATTTATAAATCGTCTTATTAAAAAGAGTTCTTGAAGAGTGACGAAAACATGTAAATTTTAACTAGAAATATTTAGTTGTGTTTAAATGTAATGAATAAAAGTTTACGTTAAACTGTTTTTAATTTTTATTTTATTTCAACGTTTACTTAATAAAGTTTGTTCGACCATAATCATATAGTGGTAATGTTACATGTCAATTCAATTAATCTACCATAACTACGAAACTGGTTTCAATATTTTATTTCATCATCTTAAAGTCTATAATGATAAAACACTTATATTTATTATTATTAAATAAATTATAGTTTTCATACACTTATTCATATTCGTGAAGTCAGTAATTTATTACTTGATAAATATTTCTATGTATTTGTGTATTGAAACAAATAAGAAACAACAATAAAACTTTCGTATCATACTTTTCTAAGCAAGAATCTAAGATATTCGGAGTTTCATGTGCATAAAATCAAATCTAATTACTTATGCAAAACATTTGAAAATGCATTTCCTTTAATCACCTGAAAATATTTTAATATTAATGAAAACTTAACGAGCTCGAAATTCAAATGCACTTATATTTTAAATCTAGCGGTAGATAGGTGTTTAACAATTATTTTAAAAATTATTCTAATCGCGAAATTTGTATTTGTCAATGGGTGTCGAAGTATTAAAATTAAATATTTTTATAAAAGAGCATCCATTTTATGAAAAATGTATACAAATAATTAGCATACTCAGCGCTCTCTACCACTTAATCATGGAGCTCGATATAAAAGTAATAGGACATGAGAATGTATTTATTATTATGACTTAAGCCTATCCTAACTTGTCATCGCTCGCTTTAACTTTGTCGTACAAATACAGCATCTTACCATTTGCTAAATATAGGAAAACTTGGCTCAATCACCGAATCGACGGTTTCTGTATTATGGCACGGTTGGAAGGAAAACTGAATTCTATTGAATACAAAAAGCTCGTTTCAATTGTGGCCCCAAGTTTTTCCTTGTGCACGTTAAGTACGGGGGAAAAAAAAAAAAGGAAAGTAGTCCGAGACTAATAAAAAAAGGCATACCTTCAATTTATTCACTTGGTTCAACAAGCATCGAAAAATTAATACAGCAGCATTATGCCACTCGCAGAGTCCTTACAAACGAGCACACTTACGCAATAGTAAAAAAAAAAAAAAAAAAAAAAAGGAATCATTCATTCGAGCACGACGGGATAGTCGCGATCACAAAGCAACGTCCAGAGCAGCGCCGATGGTCATCCGGGGTGGGATCATCCACGAGTACAAGAACCAGCCGCAGAACAGGAGAAAGACAGCCTTGACGACGAGGTCGCAGAAGTACAGGTAGGCAAAGACGCGGCGGGCCTGAGGGAGCGTCGAGGGGTCGTCCTTTAGGCAGTACTTGCGCGCTGCGAGGATGTACTTGAGCAAGAAGTCGTTCCACGAGACCTCGCGAATGTCCATGAAAAAGGTCTCCTTGTCCGATGGGCTCAGACTCTCCCGCAGCTCTTTTAGTCGCTCGTTTCTGCAAAAAATACAAGCGGGTTGTTCATCCTCGAAAGCAGATGAAGAAATATTTTTTTTTTTTTGTTTTTATTTAGTTTTCACGCTTCGATATCCTCTCATTAGACTCGTGTCGAAATTCATCGTGGCCGAATTAAAATCGAAAGTACAGGTTTTACCGACTCTACGTAGCTATATACATTTTATTTACTTACACTGTGAGAAAAATATAATAAAAATTACTGTGCTGGAATGGTAATCTGGTGTCAGGGACTTTTTACTTTGGCCAACCTAATTCTTACCATATTCTGGACAGTAACTTCTATCGTACAAACAGTAAAAGTCGCTGTACTTACAACAAAAATTACTGCTGTTCTAAGCGCTGAAAATTATTGTTCAAAATAGTAAAAAGTTTCTAGACTACCGAACATCACCAGATTACCATTCTAGCACAGTAATTTTTATTATATTTTTCGCTCAGTGTATCAGGTGAAATTAAATCTTCTAGAAAAAAAAAATAAAAAAAAAAAAATACTTGAGTGATACAAAGAACTGGCTTGTTCTACCATAATTTCATCATGAACATACGTATCAGAGAGAGTGACATATGAAGTCAATTTTCATCTTACACATATACCAACGGGCACATGGAGGTTTTTTTTCCCAATTTTACGACCCACGATGAAATTTCCATCATCCCGTTCGAGCGTCGTAAAACATCGAGTCCCGTCGTAAATCACTCCCACGTGCTCTTCATCGACGGAAAATCTCGCGATGCACAAAATTTACATATTTCGGCATCGAAAAATTACGCAAACCCCCGGCAAAACGACCCAATATGCGAGACATCGAGAAACCTTAATGAACAACGGCGCAACCGACCAAAGACAATAAAAGACGCGTTCGCTTCCATTGACGCGCGCGTGAAAGCACAGCCCGAAGAGCGTCTTGCACAAATAATACGCACGCGTGTGGTGGCGGAGACGAATATAGCTACGGGCGCTAAGTGAGTCGTAAAAAAAGGAGGTACCCATACGAGGTGCCATTAGCGGGCGATTGTATTCGCGTTGGGCACACCGGCGGGTGATTAACCCGGTGACCTGGCCGGTAGAGGACCAAGAAAAATGAATAAATAATTTACACGAGGAAGGCACGGGTGTACTTAATAACCGATGTGTCGGGTCTATTCAAACCAAATGAGCAGTAGAGCAGTGGTCGATGTGTGAAAGATTTGCGTCACCGAGGCTCGGAATGGCCAATAGTATAACAGCTCCGGACGAGCAAATTGGTCTGTAATTAGCATTTTTTAGCTCTGTGTGTGCAATTGCAATTTTTGACTAGCTAGTATTTCCTGGGTGCCGATTGTTTGGTCGGTTAAGAAGAATATTCGACGTCTCCTGTCGTCAAAGGAGGCTAGCGATAACTTTAAAGAATTTTTTGTCTTTCATTCGGTGGTAGATGCAGTACTGTCTATTTTTTTCATCATCCCCGAACGAGCAGTTATTGTGGCAAAAAGTGGCCAAACTATACACGTTGAAATTAAATTTGTAGAGAAATAACTGCTCGTTCAGATGATCGAGTCCTTCGTTTATCCGTATACGTGTTACGGCTTTCTAAAATTCAAAACTAGGCTGGCCCCTTCTGATATGTAATTATATGTATATGGGATTTTAGATTTGAAATATTATCAGTTACTATAAGTGGACTTTCAAGTGGAATTACAAAGAACATTTTGAATAGTTTTATCGGTTAAACGGTTGAAAAATAAGTTTTGATGCAATACAACGGGCGTGATGGGTGACACCATTCGCATGGTAACATCAAAACAGGAAGATTCGAGAAAATAATTTTTTGTTATTTTTTTAGTTTCCTGAATGTCTAAAACCATCTGTTTAAGTGTTACACATTGCTACTTACTCTTTTTTCCAACTATTTTAAGTATTAAATATTTTACGTTTATTCGTTACATGTAATTCCACTTGAAGTTCCACTAGTAATGACTGGTAGCATCTTAAATTCAACCCACAAGTCATTCCAAGCGAAATTCCAATTAGAATTAAAAACAGTTTTTGAATTGTATTTCGAAGTAGAACTAAAAGGGGCTATGTATTACTTGTCAGAAGGGACGCTTTCTTTTTTTCAAACACAACAAAAAGGTAAAAGGTGTAAGAGCCCTCTCGACAGTTAGGTCTCCAAGTGTACATCTCAAATGAATTAAATTTCTCGAGCACATGTCTCTCAAGCTTATTTATGTGAAGCTATAGAAGGTTAGCTTTAGACCAGAAAAATTTTACCAATTAAGTTAATAAACAGTTTCTCCTAGATTCGCAATATGGATTGTGATCAGTGGTTCGCATATTCTACGTATTTGTTTTTACATCTTTAATAGCTTTAGGCAAGTTCAAAGTGGTCGAATAACGGTTATCCCGCAAAATCAGAAGGTGTGGCACTGCCAAACGTTTTCCGTACTTACAACACAACGACAACACTGACGACACAATAATCTTTATAAAAATGAAGTTTGACCATTTGAATATATATATATTTTCAAATTCCCGCAAAACCTCCAAGATTCCACGCGGAACAATCAAATTAACCGTAGTACAATCCGCGACTCACTTGAAAATCCATTGCTTAGTCGTGTAGTAGTTGACGAGGTTGAGGCCGTAGGTCACCCTGGCTTGCACCTTGACGAGGAACGGCTTGTGTCCCGTGAGCATGATCAACGCGTCCAGAAAGTAGGCAGGGAGCGTGTGGAGGAAGAACACCGCCAGCGCGTGGTAGACCTTTGAGGAAGTGAGCCCGCCTCCCGGGTACCACAGCGGACCTGAATTCCGAAAATGGCACATTATAGTACAGGCATGGCTCCTTCGCCAAACCAGCCGACGCTACGTACCCGAGAACGGATTGGCCAGGGCGTGCTTCTTGCCGACGTCGAGGGCGTATCTCCAGGTGATGGGGTTCTCCCTGCTTTCGGTGAGGTTGACCACGAGGGGCTCGACCGGTCTCTCGCGGCCGACCTTCCAACCCAGGCCGATTATCGCGTGGACCGCCATGTCGCAGGGTATGAGGTCGACGTTGTAGTCCCCGTTGCAGAGCATCGTCCTTATGACGCCCTTGCCCGCGCCGATCATTATGCCCGTTGGCCCGTTCATGTTGTCCACCCAACCGTTGTCCGGCTCCTTCCACGACCCGACCACTGCAACGTCGTTACAACCGATCAGGATCTTTCATTAATTTTGTTTACCAATGCAACTAACCGACTTTATAATATGTGTAGGGTTAATATATACCGAAAGAACACAGTTTTTTATTATTGTAGGACCATAATTTTCGCGCAAACTTAAATAAACGAAGAGGCCAAAGTTAAAACGAAAACCTGTCTCATTTGGCGGGTTAAAAAAAAAAACAGCGCCAACTTGGCGTCATTTCATAAAATAAAAAAGTATTATACGGCAATAACTACGAGTCTTAACTCGAATACATGTATAAATATTCAGCAAAAACCTAATTTATCTGTTGTCAATTATTCTAATTGTACAGGCCATGTATTTTAAGTGAAATAAAAAGTGAAATCTTTATTTCAACAATACCGCGAAGCTTATTAGGCCGGTATTGTAATTAGTGTTAAGAGCAACCTGTCTAAATATTTTTCATAAAAATAAATTTAAAAAATGTTTTATAAGTACTGTTGTTATCATTAATAAGAGGTTCAATCATTAATATTCTAAAATGGATAGTAAAGATTTTTTTAATGGTTAACTGTGCCATACAATGCCAAACTGTGCCGTACGATGTCGAACTGTGCCCTAACGTGTCATACTCTGCCCGAACGTGCCATAATGTGCCATAACGTGCTATACTGTGCCGAATGTTCGAAATAGCCATCGTTTGGCACAATTTAGCACTTTTTGGCCCAGTTTGGCATAATTTAACGCACTTTGCCCCAGTTTGAAATAGTTTGACACAAAGTGACACAGCAAATTATTTCCACAGGGGTAGCAAAGTGTCGACAGTTACTGTTTTGTTACTTACGACCGTTTTGTGGTTTTAAAATTGAAAATTGAAAATTTTCTTTAAGCTTGTGCATTTTCAACATATTTAAACTATAATTATTACATTTAATGTGTGTAATTCCAAATTTTAAATGGCACAAAGTTGAATGTCTTTGAAATCAAGCTTTGCACTTTATTTGTAACACTTTAATTGAATACTCTAACGCCAAGCTGAATATTTTATTGTTATAAGTGATGCGTTATGATTTTTATTTGTGGATTAAAAACTTTTAAGATTTTAGTTATAATTTTTTTTTTAAACTTTATTGGCTGGTAGATTATTGAGATATTGATCTTATACCTCCGTACTGTTATTTTATAGAAATTATTTCATTGGCGGTATGTATGCTGCAATTCATTAATTATGCATGTTTAAGAATACAAAAAAAAAAATTGGTTCTCGTTGCACAATAATCCCAAAGAATAACTGGGGTTATATCAATCATAATTTAAGAATTCAAGATTAAGAAAAAAAATTAGATTCAGAGTATATTAGTGAATGACACTTAATTAGGTTCCTTTTTTTTGAAATTTATTTATTTATTTTTTGTATACGGCTTTGAATTATTATTTCACTTAAAGCTCATTATAGCACGATTGCCACGAAATGAATGAACATGGGGTCATCTGTGCCGTAGTCTCTGAATTCAACGTCTACATCGAGGTACGTAATACCGATCTGACGAGAAACCTGATGATAGCTAAATTGCAGGTAACCGGGTAAGAAACAGATTGAAATTCACATTACCGATCGACGGTCTCGCGAGGCCCGTGGGTAGTCCGCATCTCCTCACGAGGTCCTCACTCAGAGCTTTAGTGAAAGCATAGGTGTTTGGTTGGTCGCGGAGCACCTTAGGTGTCATCGCTTCGAGCAAATCTTCGGGCGTTTCTTCCACCAGTTTGATCATTTTTTCCGGCGATCTCTCCACCGGGTAAAACTTTTCCTCCAATACTGTCTGGTTGCAGTGACAAAAGGCTGTCGACACGTGGATGAATGCGTCCAAGTTTTTTATCTGCACAGTTTTTAATTATACGTCATTTTCAATCCGATACCTATGCAGTAAATATCACAACACTGTATGTTACACGTGGCAAATGTACATCAACTATATAATATCATTGCTTGGTTTGGTCAATTTTTACAAAAATTTGTAAAATTTGGTGGCAAAATTAATTTTTTGATTAATAAAATTATTTATTATGCCTCCCGTGTCACTATTTTTTACGTTATACTTTTAAACAAAATTTTTTTGATTATTTTTTTAGAAAAAGCGGCTTTTACATGAAGCTATTATTATTTATAAACGATGTGAAAACGATTTTTTAACACATTTTATTTTTAACAAAATAAAACCGGATAAAAAAAGCCGAGGACAACTAAATTTTGATTGATTGAAAACTACTCAATTGATGATTTTTTGTGAAATTGCACACATGTATAAATTTAGGAAACGAAAAAAAAACGTCTATTGTATTCAATGATATGGAATATCGATAATTTATACAAAAAAAAATCTTGCCCAGGTCGTTAAATACTTACGATTCGATAAAACAATGAAAAAAAAAAAAATTGTTTATTGTTCGCACCTGCTTTGCAAAAGCTATCACGTTGGCGGTGCCTTTTGTATTCAAAGTAACGGCGCTCTTGAGTGGCAGATCGAATCGCACGTTGGCTGCCATGTTAAACAGAACCGAGACGTTGTTCTTCAAAATTTCGGCATCTGCTGCGGAAATTCCAAGCTCATCGCACGTTGTGTCACCAGATATGACGACTAGTTTTTTCAGTCTTTCGGGATGATTGTCTCGTAGCAATCTGAATGGCTCTTGCTAAAGAGAAAAATATGAAAATGACGTATTAATGAGCACCACACTTGCCGTACTAAGGCTTTTTTATTTTTTAATGGAAATACTTTCATGAGAAACAATAATTTGCAATTATTAAATTTGTGGTCTGAAGGACTGATTTTTAATTTCTATCATGTACTGTATAAAGGACAATTACATTGTTCAAGTTAGTATGCCTAAGTTGTTGTTGGCAAATTCAACCAACGAATTGAATTAATTAGCTTTGTATGAATTGTATTCCATTCTCAATCGTAATAAATACAATAAAAGTACTAAAAAATAAGGTCACTTTTTTATTTAATGGTCAATTCAATAAATTTACAGTGCACACAACTAAACTTTTAAAAGTTTTGATCGTCCAAATAGGTCAGATCGTAGACAGACCAACTCGTAATTTAGCAGTAAAAATGAAAATTACAGAGAAAAAAATGAAAAAACTTGGGAATTTGAAACGACAATTCCGTGTACGGTACAATGAAGTACCTTTGAAAGCGACGAAATATGTAATCTTTCAAATAACAGTTGGCTATCGACTTTGACGTTAATCGAAATTAAGATACACGCTCGTGAATAATAAAGTGGTTTTATTCTACCAGACCACGTCTAGAGATCGTAAAACATTCATTTGTAAATTGTCAACGTGAAATTTGTGTTTGACGCACGCTGCAAATAACATACTAGAGTACGTGGCTGTTTTACAGTATTACAGCCTAATGAAAACATCTGCGTCAGCTAACTTTGGGATGATTTCGAGATTTTGTTGCTTTATTTTTTAACGATCGATTAAAAAATTTTTTGGAATTTTTTTATGGCATAACTTAGATACTCGAAGTTGACCATCTTTTGGAAATGGCCAAATGATCGTTTTACAGCAACAAACTATTTTGTTCGACTCTCTAGGATAGTGTTAAATACTAAACTGAAAATTAAAAAAAATGTACTTATTTATTTTACGTTTTTCTCAATTATCATTTTTCTTCTCGTGAACTTTAATACACATACGTGTGGTCGTATGGTAATACGGGATAAAAGTAGTATTATTCTGCATGTAAACCATTGTTTCTACCCTGATAAACTTTTTTTCTATACTCCTTATAAAAGATTTTTTAAAGGTTTCATAAATAACCACAAAATGTGCAACAATTACATATTTTTTAGTACCATATTTAATAAAAAAAACCATCTGACCAATTTGACATCAAATAATTTATAAATCACTATAGTAATATTAAATTTTAGATTGAATCATGTCCTATGCAGTAACATACA